CATTGATACTTATTCTATTTAATACATACAAACGGTTTTCTTCTTTAAAACATAATGTACAATGTGCAGTGCATTGTCAGACAACAGATGAATTAAACAATTAAAATATTAATATTCACATTTATCCAATTCTATATAATTTTGTGTAGACAGCTCCGCCCTTGGGAATCAGTGGTTCTCATGAACCTATTCCTTAAGATGTTTTCTGCTGGGAAATGTCACAAACATAAAACTCCCTTGGCCCCTGTGACACAGGAAGAGTTTACAAGAAAAATGTTTAAAACGTAGAGCAGCTGCAGGCAGCAGAGAAGGATAGAGAAGGTGACAGTTATCATTGCTCCAGGGAACATATGGGGATGGGGATAGTGACCTTCTATTGTCAGGTCAATGGAGCCATGGGAAGACAGGTGTGACATTGCTATGTCACCATTCCTAATGTGCAATGTCACACACTCCTCTCATAAAAACATTTGAAGACACGAGTAATTAGCTGCATTCCCCTATTACACATTTTCGTGCCTGTATGTGTTCCAATGGTTCTTGCAAAATAATCTTTTACTTGTTGACTGACCTATAACCCTAAAACTGCCACACTAGATAACTGGTAAAATAAGAGATATGTATTTTTGGAGATTTTTCTATGCCAGTTATTTATGAGGGGTCTTCAAAAAGATCAGATTATAGCATCAAGTCACTTAAACTCCTGGGATATTGATCTGGTCAGTTAAGTAGCAGAGGGGGTTGTTAATGAAAGTAACAACAGGTGCACTAGATGGGCAACAATGAGATGACCCCCAAAACAGGAATGGTTTTACTGACATTTTTTCCCTACTCATCTTTTCTGACTGTTTTTCACTAGTTTGCATTTGGCTAGGGTCAGTTTCACTACTGGTAGCATGAGGCGATACCTGGACCCTGCAGAGGTTGCACAGGCAGTCCAAATCTTCCAGGATGGCACATCAATATGTGCCATTGCCAGAAAGATTGCTGCGTCTCCCAGCACAGTCTCAAGAGCACGGAAGAGATTCCTGGAGACAGGCAGTTACTCTAGGAGAGCTGGGCAGGGCAGTAGAGGGCCCCTAACCCATTAGCAGGACCAGTATCTGCTTCTTTGTGCAAGGAGGAACAGGATGAGCACTGCCAGAGCCCTACAAAATGACCTCCAGCAGGCTACTGGTATGAATGTCTCTGACCAAACAATCAGAAACAGACTTTATGAGGGTGGCCTGAGGGCCCACATCCTCGATTGGCATTTGCGATTAAACACCAGAATTGGCAGATCCGCCACTGGCGCCCTGTGCTTTTCACAGATGAGAGCAGGTTCACCCTGAGCACATGTAACAGATGTGAAAGGGTCTGGAGAAGCTGTGGAGAACATTATGCTGCCTGTAACATCGTTCAGCATGACCTTTTTGGTGGTGGGTCAGTGATGGTCTGGGGAAGCATATCCATGGAGTGATGCACAGACCTCTACAGGCTAGACAAATGGAATCCTGACTACCATTAGGAAGCGGGATGAAATTCCTTGGACCCATTGTCAGAGCCTGCACTGGTGCAGTGGGTCCTGGGTTCCTCCTGGTGCACAGCAATGCTCGGCTTCATGTGGTGAGAGTATGCAGGCAGTTCCTGGAGGATCAAGGAATTGATACCATTGAATGGCCCCCACGCTCACCTGACCTAAATCCAATAGAACACCTCTGGGATACCAAGTTTCGGTCCATCCAACACCACCAGGTTGCACCTCAGACTGTCCAGGAGCTCAGTGATGCCCTGGTCCAGATCTGGGAAATACCCCAGGACACCATCTGTTGTCTCATTAGAAGCATGCCCCAACATGGTCAGGCATGCATACAAGCATGTGGGGGCCATACAAACTATTGAGTACCATTTTGAGCTGCTGCAATGAAATTTCAGCAAAATGGACTAGCCTGCTGCATCATTTTTTCACTTTGATTTTCGGGGTGTCTCTGAATTCAGTCCTCTGTAGGTTGATAATTTTAATTTCCATCAAACGATAGAGCATCCTTATGTTCCTAACACATTACCCAGTCTATATCAGTATAGATATCCAGCATATTTTTCTCCATTGAGATCTGATGTGTTTTCAAAGTGTTCCTTTAATTTTTTTGAGCAGTATATATATTTATATATATATATATATAATTTTTTTTTTTTTTTTTAAAGAGTGGAAACATTTTGAAGAACCCTTGTAGCACAAGGTCCAAAAAACATGCATATGAATTCAAATCTTCTATTGCTCTTAGCCTCCTACAAATTTGTTTTTTCTTTGCAGCTGTGATTTTACTTTCTGTTAGAGGGTGGCTACACTTGTTCTCCATGGTTCCACTGCATGTAGGAGCGTAGCCACCCTCCCTTGTTTGAGGCTGAGTTGGAATACAGACCATGGGATATGTACTGTGCTTAGAGCAGTGTACATGATTGTAAGTAATGTATACTGATAGTTCCAAACGAACAGAAGTGAAAAATGGAAAGGGGAGGTGGGGAAGCTCACGGAGGATATTACAAAGGCAGAAAAACACAGTAATGATTTGATGAAAAACGGATTACAGGGCTATTATGTAGTGCATTTGTATGGATTATTTTTGGAGAATAGGGCTATTGTTTAGCGTCACTTTAAAGTCTTTTTTTTAGTTAAAATAAAAAGGATGTTATACTTACTTACTCTGTGGAACAATATTGCACTGAACAGTCTCTTGCCTCTGATTCTGAAGTCTTCACGACACTGTCTTCTCCTTCTCTCCTCCAGTGGCCCCCTTAATAAGTGTGGTGCTGAGGGGGCACCTGGAGCAAGCTGTGCTTGCCACCTCTCCTGCCTGCCCGGCGCTCCAGTGAGTGCTGGAGGAGCAGAGTAGAGTGGTGACTGGCAGTCAAAACTGAGCTATCAGCATGTAGGCAAGTGCGGTCTGTGTTCTCCACTGTAGGTGGTACTCAACCCGAGTGGTACCACAAGTGGAGAGGAATTCAGAGGAAACAGGGTTTCTCTATAGTTTCCTGGGGTTTCCTGGTTCTTGAAAGCAGAGTTCCGGATGGCTATGCTGCATTCAGGTGACCCCTGGGTCATCAGAGCCTTTATAGGTTCCTGCCCCAGGGTTTTGATATGCGTTTGCAGAGTAGTTAGTGCAGGGAGAGAAATCGAGTCTGTGAGGGAAAACTGATAAACGACAGGGAAAGGTTCCATACAGGATAGGGCTCTGCCATCCTTCGAGCAAGCTCCCTGTTGGGACTGGACCAACTCGACCCTCTGAAACTGACGCTGTCAGCACACCGCCTCTCTCTGCTTTGCTACATTTGAACTGAACTGTGGGTGTATCCCTAGTAGTGCTCTCCTGCCTGGGGTGTTTATAATTTGGCATTCCCTTCATTACAAGTTCATTGCTAGTCTCAACCAGAATCTGTGTCTTTACTGCCACTGTACCACCCTGCACCTTCCCACAAGCGGTCATGTGATCATTCAGTTCTCGGTGTTAGAGCCGACATGAAACAGTTGCTTGTATATGGAGAATTGCTGGTCGAGTTAACATCAGCACAGTCTTCATGGCAACCAATAAACACTGTGTATAGATATAAACTGGCTGGTAACATGGCTGTATTTCTCTCTTGAGAAAGTCTCATGACGAGTGACTAAACATGTGGGGAGGAGCCCATGACGTCATCGTGCATGCCCGGAAGTGGGTGAATAGCTGCATTCTTTGAGCTGCTAATCTAAAGCCCTAAGGGGGCAATGCATTTTAAGGTGTTCTTATACTGCGGTGCACCAGTTCATTGTGACCCATATAAAGTGAGTGTGTTTTATTATCTTTTAATAAAAAGTGGTTTTAGCAAGTGGAAACAGGATGATGGTTCTATTGCATGCTTCAGAGGCTTCTGCTGGGAGGACGTTGATTGATGTAGTTGACCTAAGGATCCATATATGATGGAGGCACAGTAACAATTCCAGGGATGTCCAGCATGTGTTTAACCCCTTAAAGGGAAAGGTGCAGTGTGACCGGGGGTGGACTGACCATTTGGAAACTCGGGCACTGCTTGAGGGCCCGGGGTCAGTAGGGGGCCCCATGAGATGCCCCTGGTACCTTTTTCATAGGCTTTTTTGAGTTTGGGCAAGGACACAGGGGCCCCATGATCCTCTATTGCCCGGGGGCCCCATAAGTTGTCAGTCCGCCCCTGAGCGTGACCTGTCTTTTCATTTAGGTCAACATTTTTAAGTAAGAGCATAAAGATACTGGTGTCGGAACATGTAGGATTCACAATTTTGTAGTCATTGACTGGCACTTCTGATGAACTTACATGTTGGACTTTTATGCAATTCTGTTGATTCAATTTATATATTAAAAGTATTGCATGGTGTGTTTGTTATATATAAGTTTCAGTGTCTTTTCACTACAATATACATGGGTGTGAAATCACATATAATTTCCAGCACACATGTTTATGTTTGTTGGGATGCACAACAACTTTGTATAGCTGTGCAGTATTATATAAGTAAGTATAAATCGTTGATGTTTATTTTTTCATAAACCCATACTTCTACTTTAACCACTTGCCCTCCAGAGAATTTACCCTCCTTCCTGACCAGGCCATTTTTTGCATTATGGAGCTGCGTTACTTTAATTGACAACTGTGCGATCATGCACCAAAATGAAATTTACTTCCATTTTTTGCCACAAATAAAGATTTCTTTCGGTGGTATTTGATCTCTTGTGCGGTTTAAAATTTTTTGCGCTATAAGAAAAAAGCGGCAATTTTGAAAAAAAAAAACAATGTTTTTGACTTTTTGCTGTTAAACATATCCAGTAAAAAAATTTCAGGATACATTTAGGCCAAAATGTATTCTGCGACATGTCTTCGCTAAAAAAAAAAAAAATCCCAATACGTGTAAATTAATTGGTTTATGTGAAAGTTATAGTGTTTACAAATGGCAGTATATATACTGGAATTTTCTTTTCTTTTTTTACTTGTAATGGCGACTTATAGCGGGACTGTGGGACTGCGGCGGGCATTCTGACACTGGGGGGGAACTGACTTGGTGTCACTGACAACCCCAGTGACACCAATACAGTGATCAGTCCTAATATAAAGCGCTGACACTGTACTAATGGCACTGGGCAGGAAGGGGTTAACATCTGGGTTGATCAAATGGATAACTGTGTGCTGTTTTACTCTGTGCTGTGTGTGTGCTTCACTGTAAGCACACTGCTTTGCATGGCTCTGCTATGCAAAGCCATGCATAGCAGTGTGAGGAGCTGACAGGGGAGAGATCTGTATTGTTTACATACAGTTCTCTCCCTCCGTTGGTAATACTCGGCAATCACCGGGTTCCGGTGTGTAATCACTGGCCAGTACCCGGTGATTGACAGCCGAGGCCACGAATAGTAGCACGGGTAGGGTGGCTTGCACGCTCTCCCTACCCTGAAATGCAAAATCACATATACATGATTTTGCGCACCCGTGCCACCCTGTAGCAGTATTTCTGCTATAGGGCGGACAGGAAGCGGTTAATGACGAAAAAACATCTCTCATTGGTTTGTGCATGTGGGGTGAGGTGTGGGGCTAAGATGGAGAAGTTAGGACTTTTATTTGCTTTGTTCACTTCATACTTTTTACCGGGAGATCTGTCCATGTGCAAAGGATTTAACAGCAGTATTATTTCACAAACGGTACAAATCTTGTCTGGTTCTCCTTTTATTTTTATATTTAAAAAAATGTACATATTAAAACATTTTTTAAATAATTATGTTTAAAACGTATTTGTGTATATATGTTTTTCTCTTTTTCTTTTCTTAATTAAAGCACAATACAGTATAAAAACAGATCTTCTCTATGGAACCTCAAGGCACCTGCCTTTTATTAATATCATCTTGTATTTTATAACACACCCAGCATACATCACTTTACAGGCATGAGAAAAATGCAGCATATAATCTTGTATTGTGTAGAATATGTGCATTGAGGAAAACCAAAAAAGGGAAAGGCTGATCCTTATGATTATAAACACAATACCATAAAAAATAAAAATGATATTATAAATGCATATTTTACAATGTTAACAAAGATTCTGTTAACCATTTTCCTCCCACAAAAAAAGATAAAGCAGAGAACCCACTTGCAATATTAAAGTATATGTAAACCTCACCTTGTAAAATAATCTGTTCAATTTAAAACAGAAATGAAAGGCAAAACATTTGTGTATAGATAATATATAAAAATATTATAAATACCTTTCTTTTTTCCTTTCTTATAAGTGATCACATACCCAATGTTCTCATCTGCAAAAGGAGCTCAGAGAGCTGGGGAGGAGAAACAGAAGTGCACTAATCTTCCCAGTGAATGGCTGTGCAGGGAGTGGGCATGTCAGGACAAGTCTGATCATTGGAGCAGAGTGCAATAATTTCTCAGCACAGCTACAGAACTGACCACGCTGTGTTCTCATAGTTAGTGTAGTCAGTTTTTAATAGGAAAGCAAAGGGACAGGAAGGATCACCAGGTATGTCACACAGAAGAAGACTCACAAAGAGAACAAGATAGCTTTTCATACAAGTACATGGTACAGCAGACCCATATAAGGAATATGAAATGTTGGGATTACATATTCTTTAATAAACCAAGTCGTTTCAGAAAGAATTATAATTTACATGTTTGCACGGCTCCAGCCAAAATATTTAGTTTTCGTTTTTGCTGAAGTGGGAAAAAGTCAAAATTTCTTTCAGGGTTTTATTTGTTTGTGACCCCATTGGTAAGATTTCCCTTACTTCCTGTCACTGTGACACTAATACAAAAATTAGGGGTTAGTCAGTGGAAAAGGAAGGTACAGACAGCAATAACAACATTGTCAGCGCTTTAAAACCCTTCTCCACTCTTGTGTTTTGCTTTTCTCTGTGTCCCCATTGCATAATTTTCTATTATCCTTTAAAAATGGACCTAAACACATCAAGGGATACCTTGTCTATTTTTCGGCTACCGGCCCTTTCACATGGGTACTCTCCATTTTGTCTCTGCAGGAGATCCTAGATCTGTCCCCTACTGAGTCAGATCAGAACATATGTGACATTTGTGTGTTCTGTTTCCCCCCCCCCATCTTATGATGAAAAAATAGGGCCCACGTAATTTTTATAGGTGGGCAAATGTAGGAGGATGTATGTCCGTATCTATATCTATACACCTATATCCACTCACATCAAATCTGGTCTCAAAAGCAGATCTGAAAGCAAACTTATTGCATTTGGTCTAATGAACCTCAACGGAATGTAAATCAACGCAAACAAACACTCATCCACTTATGGTTGCCCATATATAAACATTGCAATCCATCTGTGATCCATCTAATCACTGCTAAAAAATGGACTGACAGAACGCCCATGTGAAAAGGACCATAGGGGGCACTGTTGAGAGATTATGGAATGCTTTCTGAATGATTGTACGCTGCAAGAACCATGGAGCTTATATTAAAAAGGCAATCTAACCACACTGTACAACGACATGCAGACAAGAAAACAATATGGTGTGCAAAAATACTTTCAAAACATGAAATAAGGTATTTTTAGTTTTTTTTATCTCTTCTCTTGGCTCTGCTCTTTAACGTGGTACTAAACCCAGGACCCTGCATGCACTATATCTGGTCTCCCACAGTACACACAACATGGAAATGCAATTATTTTAGTAAATATAAACTGCTAAATACCTTTTCTCATCAGCAGTTAGAGCAGTCTTGTGACTTCTATCTGTGTCTAGCCCAGCACTAGCTAAAGCTTGTAGGAGGAGTTTTTCTTTCTGCTCTAGAAGGATGCAAAACCCTTGACCTCTGTCTGGACAGTGCTGATTGGCCCTATGCTGATCACATGCACTTTCCCAAGAAAAAAAAAAACCTCTTTAGCAATACACACCAAACTGAGCATGTGCAAAATGCCTACTGTTCAGTCTTATCAGGAGATAGGTGGTGGTCGCTTGAAAAAGGGGAGGAACAGAGAAGACAGGATCAAACTACTGCCTTTTACACAATGCAGAGGATTAACCCCTTAGGTTCCACAGTGAGTATAACAAGCATGCTTTACTGCATATACAGACTGATTTTACTGTTGTGGGTTTAGTAACACTTTAATTTAAAAAGCTTTGAAAGGTTAAAGTGAACTTCACCCAAAAGAGGAAGTTCTGCTGTAAGTCCTCCTCCCAGCCACCTCCTTATGTTTTGACACTTGTTTTTTTTTTTGGGGGGGGGAGAGGGTGCCTAGTTTTGATGATCCAAGGCAAACCAAGTGGAAGTTCAGGCCCCTCCTCCTTCCCCCACAGAGTTCTGGGACACATTACAGTCCCAGAAAGCTGCGGGACCATTCACAGAGTGCAGCACAGCTTGCCCATGCGCAGTGGGAAGCTGCCTGTAAAGCCGCAAACTGTCACAATTGGCTTCCCAAAGTAAACAAGAGTTGTCTCAGGTGAGGACAGCGCTGGATCTCTGGACTAGGTAAGTATCATATTATTAAAAGTCAGCAGCTACAGTATTTGTAGTTGCTGGCTTTTATTTATTTTTTTTTTTTATGCTGAAGGACCACTTTAACCTCCCTAGCGGTCTGATTATGTCCATATTTCTGTGCTCAAAGCGGTAAATTTTTTTCCATGGAAATATGTATTTTTTTAATGTAGGCCTGTCATTTTTAGGAATAACTCACTGAAATCTGTCCGAACAAGAGTCTAGTAAGAGTCTAGTAAACATCCCGGGTATGTTACAATTTGAAACACGAAATCATAAATTATAATTTAATAAATAATCATAAAAAATAATAATATAATAATAAATTTAATTCAATAATATAATCAAACCAAAAACACTGAAATTTGAAATAGAGCGCCAAGTTTGCACATCACTGAGCAAAGTCGCAAAATCGTATTCAGTGTCTGATGCCGAGTTTCCCCACGAATCGTTAGCACTCAATTCTGCAAGTGGTTCTGATTTACTATCGCTGTTCTCTAGCTGGTCTAAAACCGCTTTTGACCTAAAGGGACGCTTTTTGGACGCCATGGACGTTTCTCAGTTTCCAGGCAGAAAGAACGGTAAAAATACAGGCAGGGCACAGGACAAAGCACTCGGGACAAAATGTATGTGAAATGGTTTGATACAGTAATGTTTTACTATGTGATTTTAGTGAATGTCACTTTTTGTCATTTTTTCAAATTTCCCGCCGTTCCGTCCCCGTACATCCCGACGTCGCAGGGAACGGAACTCAGGAGACAGATTCCGGCATCCGCCGGAGGACATTACAGGGGACACTGCAGGAGGGACATCGCGGGAGCGCAGGACAAGGTAAGAGAAGAACAGATCCCGGAGCAGCGCCGCATGGTATTCCCGAGTGTAGCTCGGGGTTAGCGCTTGTGGTACTGAAACTTTACCCCGAGCTACACTTGGGAATACCGCCAGGGAGGCTACGGGATTAAAGACTGATTGAAGAATTGCACCCTTTTTTCTCTTTATACATGTAAAATGAAAAATACAGCAATTTGCCTCCAGATGGCTCTGAGGTGCTTAGCACCATCTAGTGGCCAGATGCGGTATTTTCCATTTTAAACTAAAGAAAGACATTCGTCTTGGCACATGAAATAGCCTAATAACATTTTGTTTGGACTTTCAATGAGTGAATTGCTATGATGTTTTTTTTCAGTTATGCCCCTTTAGTTTTGTTAAATGGTCAGAAATATACATGGCCTACCCTAACCTATATCAAAACTATGCAATTAACTTTAAAGAAAAAAAGATCTATTGAGAAAGATTAGAAAATATGCTTGCCTTACACCAGGGATCTCCAAACTATGGCCCTCCAGCTGTTGAAGTACTACAACTCCCATCATGCCTCTGCCTCTTGGAGTCTTGCCTGTGGCTGTCAAGTGTCTTGCAAGGCCTCATGGGACTTGCAGTTCCTCAAAACTTAGAAGGCCATAGTTTGTAGACCCGTGCCTTACACCAAGCTTCCACCCACAGGGCCTAGATAAGGGTGATATCACGGTCCTTCTGGTGGGATCATGGGGATGCTGAGGACCCCAAATCTTTAAAATAAAACACTTCTACACTATGCAGGAGGGTCTATCTGTGAATTTTTGGATATTCATTGTTCCCAAAGCCTGACCAGAAGGATCAATACATCACCTTCTCCTATTCCTATGTAGAAGCTGGTTGTAAGGTATATGTGTTTTTAAACTTTTCCTCACAAGTTTTTTAACCTCTTCCTTTCACTGCCTCCTAGGCCTTTAAGTGGATCAAAATGGCAGGAGGCAGAGGTGGGCATTCCGATCATGTGAACCCTGTGATCCGCTGTCACAGTGGTCTCATGATCAAAAGTTCATGATTGCAGGTATGTATCTGGAGCTTTCTGTGACAGTTTAGTAAAATGTTTACATATAGACGCATATATGCTCTATATTAATGCTCACCCACTGAGAGGTGGCATATACTGTATGTATGTGGCAGGTGGGAAGAGGTTAAACTGGATTGTGGTGTTTTGGCGAGGGGGGGGGGCACTATTTTAAACTTGGCTGTATAATAAATGTAGCCTAGTTGGGCTAGTCTAGAAACATGGTCTACAATGATCTCCCTGCAGGCGACTCCATGGAGGAAAATTCGGGTATATTAATAAAAGTAAATGGGAGAAGAACTGTGTCTTTTCTGTATAGTGAGCAGGGACTATCAATAACCCAGAGATTGGGTTGTGTCGGGATAAATATCATCTTACACAGGAGGTCACAAAGTAATTTAAAACTACTTACTCCACCAATCCTCCGGCCCCTCTTGGTCCATGAAAATTTAAAGTAACTTCAACATCTGAGGAAAACTGCATGAGATCAAACCAATTGTGGCTTCATTTTCCCATTAATAAAATGTCACTGTTAATGGAACAAAATTGCCAGTGTGAGTCTTGTATATTTGTTCTTCGCATTCCTTTATTTTTAATGTCATTGTCCACATTCTCTGTAGTGCTGACAAATTTGCTGGCGTCGTCTAAATAAATGATGATGACCTTTATGCAAGGCAGCGTACTATAAAACATATACAAATTATCTACATTTGAAATAAGAAAACACTGGTAACATACAAAGGGTAAGAAATGTTCATTTAAAAAGATAAGACATTTAAAAGGAGTTAAATCTAATTCTATCTACATTTAAAAGGAAAATGTAATGGTTTTTAGTAAATTGTAATTTTTTAAGTTAACCTGTTTATAAATAAAAATTTGAAAAAATTATTTGTATAAAATCTTTATTTTTCCAAATAAGCATTTATTACAGAATACATCTATTACACACCATGCTAAGACAAGGTCAACCAGTGCCCAGGGTGAAGATGCCAAATTGAAATTGCACCCTCCCCCCCCAGTTTATAACACGTCAGTGTCTTTCTGAGACAGAAAAATATTTAAAACATTTTCAACTAAAATAGGTTTATTTAGGTAAAAACAGAATTCACTTAAAGGATAATGTAGGATACATTCACTTATGGGGATATGTGAAATATTCCACCCAGATGTCGTATGTACTCTCCAGCGCTTAAGGAAATGGGCAGCCAAAGGAAAGCCGAGGAGACCAGGACAGAGGCAACCAAAAGACGATGCTTCAAGGGTGCAGTCCTCCGCAGACAGGGAGATCAGCCACTAGATAAAGAGTAAACAGTTGGCTCACACACCTAGTGCATTATCCAAGGTTTATTCAAAGGTATAAAAGACAAGAAACATACTCATAGACCAGTGGTCGGCAAGCCGCGGCTCGCGAGCCACATGCGGCTCTTTACAAGCTTAAATGCGGCTCTTCTGTGTGCCGGGCGCCCGCTCCCCTCCCTCCTCTCCCTCCTCTCGTACGGGCGTGTGCAGGGCGGCCGCCCCCTCACCTCCCCTCCCCTCCCTCCCTCCTCTCGGACTGCCGCCCGCTCCCCTCCCTCCTCTCGGGCGGCCGCCCCAAAAGTCAGGACTCTGCAGCTGTCAGGATGTAGGCGGGGCAGCCAGGATGTAGGCGGGGCAGCGTGATGAACTCCTCTCCTCTCACAGTCCGCCCTGAAGACCAGAACGGCGCGGGAAGCACGGCGAGAGGAACGCGCGGAGCAAAGGTAAGTGAATTGACACAGGGGGGACTTACTATATGGGGGATGAATTACTATATGGGGGACTTACTATATGGGGGGACTTACTATATGGGGGGGGACTTACTATATGGGGGATGAATTACTATATGGGGGACTTACTATATGGGGGGGGACTTACTATATGGGGGGGGACTTACTATATGGGGGACTTACTATATGGGGGGGAATTACTATATGGGGGATGAATTACTATAGGATGAATTACTATATGGGAGATGAATTACTATGGGGGGGATGAATTACTATGGGGGATGAATTACTATATGGGGGATGAATTACTCTGGGGGATGAATTACTATGGGGGATGAATTACTATATGGGGGATGAATTACTATGGGGGATGAATTAATATGGGGGATGAATTACTATATGGGGGATGAATTACTATATGGGGGATGAATTACTATGGGGGATGAATTACTATGGGGGGATGAATTACTATGGGGGATGAATTACTATGGGGGATGAATTAATATGGGGGATGAATTACTATATGGGGGATGAATTACTATATGGGGGATGAATTACTATGGGGGATGAATTACTATGGGGGGATGAATTACTATGGGGGATGAATTACTATATGGGGGATGAATTACTATGGGGGATGAATTAATATGGGGGATGAATTACTATATGGGGGATGAATTACTATATGGGGGATGAATTACTATATGGGGGATGAATTGCTATGGGGGATGAATTGCTATATGGGGGATGAATTACTATGGGGGATGAATTACTATATGGGGGATGAATTACTATATGGGGGATGAATTACTCTATGGGGGATGAATTACTATATGGGGGATGAATTACTATGGGGGATGAATTACTATATGGGAGATGTATTTTCAGTTTTAAAAATGTGGCTCTCAAAATAAATTTCAATCGTGGTTTTGACGAGATTTGGCTCAGTTGAAAAAAAAGGTTGCCCACCACTGTCATAGACGAAGCATGCATAAAAAGCTTTTGCATTAAGGAGATGTCCACAACGGCAGGCAAGGTCTTCCAACTGTCAGTGCAGTCAAATTTCTGACGCGTTTCGGGATGAGTTCCTTTCCTCAGAGCTGCTGACCAGCCTCTCTGACTGGTACAGATGTATAGTGAATAAAGTAGACCGATGGTTAGAACAATGGTGCTGCTGATACCTGCATGGCACCCGTGATCAGCACATGCAATGCTTTCTAGGCTCCTAGTAAAAAAAAAAAAATTTAAATGCACTTTTTTTCACTGAAAAAAACATTTATTATTATTTTTTTTAAAAGGTGAATATCCTTTAAAGCTGCCGCTTCTTTCTCACTCCCTTTTTCCTGGCCCCAACTACTGACACAACCAGAAATGTGGTTGGATTATCATTCTGCCTCAACTTGTGAAGCAAAATGGCCATATGAGACTTTAATAATAACCTACAGGATACATTTTTTATCTCAATGTCACATTATCTTTATGCATATTTTAAAATTTGAATGTATTTAATGTTATAATATATTTTACTTGATTTCATTTGTTATTTTACACTACCCTATGTGCTATGCTCAATGGAATTTGTACCCACAGATATCAATGTATCGCCCTGATCTGAGGAAGTGGCAATTTAAAGCGGTGGGTAGTATGTGCAAGTAAAGGAGTGCAGACTGTATGGTGGTGGGCAATATGTGCAGGAGAGGATTGCGGAGTGTATGGTTGTGGGTAGTATGTGCAGGTAGAGGAGTGCAGACTCTATGGTGTGTGGTAGTATGTGCAGGAGAGGAGTGCGGAGTGTATGGTTGTGGGTAGTATCTGCAGGAGAGGAGTGCAGAGTGTATGGTTGTGGGTAGTATCTGCAGGAGAGGAGTGCAGAGTGTATGGTTGTGGGTAGTATCTGCAGGAGAGGAGTGCGGAGTGTATGGTTGTGGGTAGTATGTGCAGGAGAGGAGTGCAGAGTGTATGGTTGTGGGTAGTATCTGCAGGAGAGGAGTGCGGAGTGTATGGTTGTTGGTAGTATGTGCAGGAGAGGAGTGCAGAGTGTATGGTTATGGGTAGTATGTGCAGGTAGAGGAGTGCAGACTCTATGGTGGTGGGCAGTATGTGCAGGAGAGCAGTGCGGAGTGTAAGGTGGTGGTTAGTATGTGCAGGAGAGCAGTGGGGAGTGTATAGCAGTGGGCAGTATGTGCAAATAGAGGAGTGCAGACTGTATGGTGGTGGGCAGTATGTGCAGGAGAGGCATGTGGAGTGTATGGCGGTGGGTAGTATGTGCAGGAGAGCAGTGGGGAGTGTATGGCGGTGGGTAGTATGTGCAGGAGAGGAGTGCAAACTGTATGG